GCGTCATTTGTGTGTGTGTGTGTGTGTTGTGTATGTGTGTGTGTGTGTGTGTGTGTACAGGTAGATTGGATAAAACTGAACAAGATTGAACCTCTATCATTTTGCGAAGTCACGAAAAAATTTGAGTTATTAATTAAGAAGACATTGTTGTCGACATAAGCGTCAAATTTACTCAAAATACGTTCTGAACTTTAATAAGTTTAGTATTTCAATGAGGAATATTAAATTGAAACGAAAATCCGCTTACTACCTAGCATCTAATCAGACTCTCTCTTCGAGTTTCATAATATTCTTGTAAAGAGAAAATAAGCTTTTTCTTTAATATCTGATAATAAGTACCTGATAATGAGCTTTTCTGTGGCTATTATTAAGAAAATAGTCTGTTGAAAATAACTATGATTTACAAAATGGAAAATAAACGGAATAATTCGCTTTTCTTAGCAGTAGAATATTTTTCTAAGTGTGTATATTATACAGAATAATAAAACAATATATAATAAAAAAACATATTTTCATCGCGATTTGCATGTCTACGTCGCTTTTGAAATGGCGAAACGGCCTCGTCTCCCCTTAAGCTAACCGATTCAGTGGTACGCGTGACGAGAAAATCGTATGCGGCACGCAGCGTCATTCCGACCTTCCAAAGTGCGTCGGGGAGGTTTAAAGCGGGACGCTCGTCGGATGCAGAAATCTCTTCTCGTCCTCGTTGTCGTCGTCGTCGCGTCGGGAAAAACGCGGTGGCGAGAGTTCGCTCGCCCCGGGACGAAATGGCGCAGCTTTACGTCCGCTTTAGAGTCCTTTTTATCCTCGGTTTATGGCGCGAGTCCGTCGAATAGCCAATCGCGAAAGTCCTGCGGGACGTAGAAAATGCGCGGAGACGTGGACAGCGGTGGTGGTAATCGACGGATCTTCCTCTTCGAGGGCGAGATCGTTATCTCCCGCGAGCGCACGTGTAATCAACTTGAGCCTTCATCGCGTGTAAGCGCGCGCGCACACACGCGAAAGACAGGACGAATATTGCTCGGTGACCCGTTAGTATATTAATTAATCTCCTCTCAGAGTCTCTCCGAGTGATTAAAGATCGCTTATTTCCACGTCGCGTTCTATCTAGGGCGCGTCTCATCCCGCGAGAGAATTCGTTTTTCTTTCTTTCCTCTCGTTTAGCCGCCCTTGTCTTAGGCGAGGGAGCGAGCGGGCGCAAATATAGTCCGACGCAGCAAATATAAATGAAATCGCGATCATTCCGTTGCCGCCAGTGCGAAGAGATTACAACGAAAATGTTTTCTCCAAAGGCGCGGTATGCTAATACGGCGCGACGTGGATAAAAGTGCGACTCGCGCAATCAGCGTTTATATGAAAAACACTCCGACTCACAAATAAACCCATTCCAAAAGGTACACTCCAACTTCTTTCTAATTTGGCACAAATACGAAAGTACAAAAAATATTTAGGTCATATTTTTTCATTTTAGCTTTGAGTTTCACGGGCAGTTTATAGCTTTTTAATATTCTCAATCCTATCATCAACAAGTGTGATAAAAATGCATAAGAAATAAAATTGAATACAAGATATAATTAAATAATTTTAATAAAATCGACATAGCTGAGACACGAACCACCCGAAATTTCTTTAGCTGAGGTTTCAACGAAAATATTTTAAATTTGTGCTAAATTAGTCAAAAATGATTCGAATCTCGGTCAAACCGAGAAATTATTTGTATAAATAATTTTTTTCAACTTTTTATATGTATTGTTTAAACATTTTATTATTTATACAAATAATTTTACACATTTGACTTCATATTTATAATCAAGAAATAAAAAACACTTATATCTTGTATTCAGAAATCATGTATGTATTGTCTTGAGAAATCACCTCAGCTATGCCGATTTTGTTAAAATTTTAATTAAAATTGCCGGATTTCTCTCTCGATTTAGCCGAGATTCGAACCATTTTTTTAGCACAGATTTAAAATATTTTGGTTGGAATCTCGGCTAAAGAAATTTAGAACGGCTCGTGTCTCAGTTATACCGATTTTGTTAAAATTATTTAACTATATCTTGTATTCAGAAATCATGTATGTATTGTCTTGAGAAATCACCTCAGCTATGCCGATTTTGTTAAAATTTTAATTAAAATTGCCGGATTTCTCTCTCGATTTAGCCGAGATTCGAACCATTTTTTTAGCACAGATTTAAAATATTTTGGTTGGAATCTCGGCTAAAGAAATTTAGAACGGCTCGTGTCTCAGTTATACCGATTTTGTTAAAATTATTTAACTATATCTTGTATTCAATTTTATTTCTTATGCATTTTTATTGCACTTGATGATAGAAGTGAGAATTAAAAAGCTATAAACTGTCCGTGAAATTCAAAGTGGGCCAAAATAAAAAATATGACCTAAATATATTTTGTATTTCTACATTTGTGCCAAATTAGAAAGAAATTAGAGTAACTTTTGGGTTGGTTTACTTGTTAGTTCCGACGCGCCCTCGACAGCTCTGCGGCAACCACCCCGATAAACTGCCATTCCGTTGCCGGCGCTCTGCGCGATGTCGCGATATACTCGAGAGTCCACATCGAGGCTTCACGACGAGCAGGCGGTAAAGAGCTCTGTTCTCTCTCTCCCTTCCTCTATCTATCCCCATTCTGACTTTCGCCCTCGAGCGAAGGAAATAGCTGGTACTTTGGACGGATGATGCGATCTCTAGGCCGCAGCGCACCGACTTAGCGCTTATGCGACTTTTCCGCAGCTTCCTCTCACGCAGAATCGTTTTTTTCGCTCATCTGTCGGCGCGCGAACGTTAGCTGAGAGAGGCTCTCGTGGATTCCGCTCGCTAAAGCATCGCTCTTTTTCATTAAAGTACCCCCTTAAAGAGAATTAGTAAGAATGTTTCTGATTAAATCAGTAAAGAGAGCATTGCACCAATAATCAGTGAACATTGATTGACTTGGAGTGGTAATACTCCCATTTTGCTGCTTCGTCTTTGACCAGTAGGAGAAAGATTTTTAAAATTTGTACTGTACTACGAATCCATTATATATACGTCGCGTATCCAACTTTTTGCGTATCTAACGACGGAATTACCGACTTTCAATTCGTGTGTAATGGCACTGCCTATGTTTGCGAGCTGCATCAGTAATAGCAACTTTAGAGGGTAATACTCCCCAACACGAGCGACGTTCTCACGATTTATCTATGTACACACAACAGCGCCAATGCCGTGGAAAGCGCGTTAAAAGCGAATTATCGGCGATGACGAGGTGCAATTCCGGAGATGCGACGCCGCCACGCGTCATTGTCTCTTTCCCTGGCTTGCGCGCGAGATACAATGCAGTCGCGATCCGCTAGTGAAAAATTGACCCTCGCCGTTGAAAAGGGCGGAACACATCGTGTTTCCCCGCGTTTCCAACGCGATAAGTGGCTCTGAATAAAATATGATTAACGACGGACCGTTACTCTCGGCCGGGTCGTCCAGAGTGTGCATCGTCTTGCACACGCGCGCATGCTTTCGTCTCTCTTTAACATTGTGTCGTTGTCGTCGTTGTCGTGCAAAACAATTTCCGACGGTAAATCATGCCGGGAATTCTACGGAATTCTCGCGCACGACCACTACCGGGATGTATTCTGACGATAAATTCTCCGAGAAACTCGGAGATCGTCTTGCCTGAAGATCTCATAAAAGACCGACCGACCACGGCAGTCCTTATTTGCGATGTTATTCTGTATTAATGGCGCATAGTGTAATCAAACGTTAAGCACGCGTCGTTCGTGGGCAGCTTTTATTAGTCGATAAACGGTCGCGCGTTTGACGTAGTATTAGCGCAACGTAAGGTCCATACAGAGTACGATAGATATATTGATTGATTGATTGAGTGTCTATTTATCGTTCTAAGATAGTCCCTCTTTGAGAATATAAATATAATTATCGAGAAAAAAATATATATCTATATATTAAAGCATTATAATATATATTTATTTAATTTATATTAGTTAATTATGTATATTTAATTAACATATATATACATTTTATTTACACAAAAAAATAATTATATATATATTTTTTTTATTAAAATCTATTATGTTGGAAATAGTTATGCTTGAATTTAACATGGAAGAGAGACAGTAGTATAAGAGTAGTAGTAGTAGTATAAGAGTACAATAGTAGTATAATAGTAGTATAAGAGAGAGAGGGGAAGGGGAATAAGAGAGGAAAGAGAGAGAAATCCAAGCCACGAACTGAATTCTATTCTACGCGATTTTCAGGCACCATTAGCAATGCTCGGCCCTGCGGGAGTCTGCACTCGGTCGCTCAATGGCGCACGACCGCCGGGGACCATTTGGGCTCCGTGGCCGCGAACCGGGGTCCAATCGAGTACAAGGCTAGAATAGCTAAATCGCCGCGTCGTGAAAATTGCTGCGAGGAGCGCGACCGATGCATGGAATACCAATGGGTTCGCGCGCGCGGGGAGATGGCCTCGCGTATAATTAACAGGATATCGATACTTCGTTAATTTGGTATCGTAGCGTAAGTTCTATAAAATTCGGAAACGCGGTTATAGTAGGCACTACACACCCTCGATATCCACTTGCGCACTCCGATCCGGAGAAAAATGCAAACATGTGTTTTAAGTTCAGGTAAACGTGATCCGATTCCTCTCCGTATCTCGTTTCCGTCGAGGTATCGATAGCTCGTTTTTATGGCGGCGACCGCACAACAGAGCTTGGCATTAAAGAGCTACCTTTGTAATTCCCGAGTGCAACGATCCACTGGAAACGACGGAGTATCGAAAGATTCTTGTGTTTTGGACGGCAGCCAAGGACGGCTTGCTCAACTTCGATGCTCGCCTCGCGAAGACGTTACCAATCGTGCCCTTCCCACCTCCCCCGTCGCCCCCGTGGACGAGCAATGTCACGAGGACAATAATTGCTATGCGCGATTACGCGAGTCGACGGATAATCGCGAGTCGGTGCACGTAGGAGCGACGTCGTCGCGATCGACCGCGTATAAAAGCGCGACACCTCGGCAACTTGAGCATCAATCGACGATCTACGAATCGACCAGCTCAACCAAGCTTCCTTCATCTACTCAGCCCACGCAGCCGACATGAAGTGCATCGCAGTGAGTAGATTAAGATCAATCGTACATTCTCGAGAGAAAAATTCAACAGTCGACAAAAAATTATTTATTTAATCATTTATTAACGGGATTCTCTAATATTTTGCACTCGTATGCTCTCAGTTACCGGACTTATATAATGGATTGATTAAATATTTTAATTATTTACTTTCGGAAGATCACACACGTAATCACAATGAAGGAAATTTCATAATAAATATTATTACACTGGGAGAAAAAGTATCCAAAAAAATAAAACAATATTTAATGCGCATTAATAACATATTTATTTACATGTAAATTCTCTTATTGAAACCAAAAAACAATTGCATCAAAAGCTAAGGTTTTAAGAAAATGTATATTTTCTTATTTGAAAAATATTTTGTATTATAATATTATAATATAATATTATTATAATATTAAAAGTATTATAATATTAGTATGAGAAAATACGGTATTAGTCGAATAAATATATTTTATTTGTTTTTGTTCCCTCGATATTTTTTCTCTCAATGTACAGAATTTTATAACCGAAGAATATATCGATATTCTTCTGTAATTGGCTATCCTTTTATTTCATATACGCTATTTGTATTCCAGGAATTGAAATGTGCTGTGAAAAAATTTACTATGCTTTTAGCGAAATTAACTATGTTCTTTAGCAAGACAAATTTTATCGACAATCTATTTCTGCTCTCTATTAGAGAAATATAGTAAAATTGAAAGGAATTTATATGAAAAAAAAAGAAAATACTAAAAAATTTTCTCCATATAAAAGATACAAAAAAAATCGTGAAAAAATCTTGCCACATCCAAAAATTTTGTCCATTTCTTTCATATATTCTACATAAAGAATACGCGACTCAAGTTATTACGAGCAGCTATCTACCAAGAACCTTGCTGGGTTCAAATTATTACGAGTGCAGAAAGATAAAGAGAGAGAGTTAAAGGGGGAGAAGAAAAATACCATCAATACCGAGCGAACTCTCGCGCTCTCGATTTCGACCAATTTCCGACATTTCCGATCGATAACGCTTTGATCTCCATCACGTTCTCAGGTTATCGCTCTGTTCGCCTTGGTGGCCGTCGCAGCCTTCGCGGAGGCCAAACCCACCGGGGTGGAGTCCGAGGTCGTCGAGCCGGCGGCTCAGGCCGAGCCTACTTCACCGGAAGCGGCCAGGAACAAGCGAGGGTTGCTGTTCGGCGCGGCTTACACGGCACCGGCGGTCGCTTACAGTGCATACACCGCGCCGCTCACGTACTCCGCATACAGTTACCCCTATGCGTACACGGCCTATTCGAGCTACCCCTATTACGCCTCCGCGTACAGCGCGCCTTACTACTTGGCCTAGATATGTACGGACCGCGCACACACCTCCCCCCCACACACAATACACACATACATATACACACACACATACACCGGGGAGCACACACAACACGCGAAACCGAGACCAACCCAATTTGACGAGGACGACGGCGACGACGTTGATTTCGACCGGCCCTGTACTCGCCACGTGATTACGTAGGACTTATCGGTGAAGAGACATAACGAAGGAGACGTTGCTTCGTGTGCCGAGCCAGAAATATCCAGGTCGTACTTGTAAACCGTGTACGCACGAAGAAACGCATTCTTGCGCACCGTCTATTCGAGAACTACGTATATTATACTCTGTTAGAAACACACTTGCACACGTAGCAAACGTCTCTGAACAGTCTGCTACACAGGCTGCTCAGACCAGCTGACAAAACGGACTATCCACCATCGGCGGACCTACACGAGGAGAATTCGCAACGTGATATCGCACATTGCTCTCTGTTCTACAAAATGTAACAAAAAAAATATATCTCACTGACGAAACGTTGTCGTCACTGTCTCCTCGCGTACGTCGCACCCGTGAGCCGCGTAACTCACTGTAGAGAAATGAATACCTCGATTGTATGTATGTTATTCGTGTATGCACACTCTCTTATATTATATTCCACTCTCTCATTAATATCTGTATGTCTCCGAAGAATGAAATCTACCCGTCGAAGGCGTCCAAATTTTCCACGGGGAGAATATCGGCAACGCGATTCTACATGATGTTTCATCCCGCGTAAAGCATTAAAAAAGAAAGAAAAAAAAAAAAATTATTGACGAAACGGTGTCGATAGTTTTCCCTCGTGCGCGTGTATTTTCTCCGAGAGACATTATTTGTCGTATTTACGCGAATCATGTAATCCCTTCCAAAGAAAAGAATAATAAATATTAACAAACGATGCATTGATATTCAAGGCGTTTTTCTTTCTCATTTCTTTCTCTCTCAATGTTTTTCTTTATTTATCTGTTATATAATTTTTATGCACGCATTTTTATGTATTTTATTAAGAGGAATATTCTTTATTGTATTTGCTTGAAGGGGAAAATTCTCCCAGAGAGAATAAATTTATCTATCTTGCGACATTCATGCGCAATATCGATATGATGTATCTCCCGATGGACACAGATTCAACTTCCTCTTCCGCGGGAAAATTTATAAAAAGAAACACAATTAATATTTAACGTCAAGACAAACACGTTGACGTCGTGTCGCGAAACTTCACTTCCCCTCGTTTAATTCCGCGGCAGACTTCGCGCGTACGGAATATTAATCGAGACTTACTCATCAGAATATTTAATGCTAAAGAGTTATTAAAGTTAACCGAGCTAAAGAATTTTGCCGGCGAGTGTCGCGTAGGAGAAGCCCTAATGAAAATACTCCGCCTGGCCTAGATACCGCGGGGTGTTACTTTCGCAGAAGTATTACTGCCCTCTCGACGTCCACGTTCACGACGACAGATGCATTTTTAAACACACGTCTTTAAGGAAGAATTTACAGACAAGTCTCAGGAGAGCCGATGAGAACTGCGAATCGAATTCCCGCGAGATCCCGACAGCAGCGTTTATAATGCCGAGCTATACGCGAATATCGATCGTTTCGTATTCGTTAGTGGAAAAAATGTTAGAGCTATTTCGGCGCAGTGTGTACTTTTGTCGAGTACGTTCCTGGGTCCATGTCGATGACGACACGCTTCCCGAATGCAAAGGAGTGGATAGGAAGTGTGAATAATTTCTCAAATCAATTCTGAATGCGCACGAGATTTTATTGATGAAATGAGCGAGCTTGAAGTTTAACGAGACAAACGACAACGATGGCGCTCGACGATGGTAGGTTCGACTTTTTCGGCTGCCTGAATGACGCACGGCGGTCTTAAAACTTAACAACCTAAAAGGCTAACGCCCGCAGTAAGCTACGTCGACCTGTTCGACTTAACGGCGAGACCGCTGTTTCACGACGACGAAACACACGATCACGGATAGTCATAACAATCGGAAAACCGAAACGTGGATCTCGCTGGAGCCTGGCGGGCAGGAAGGAGGAGGAGAGGGCGAGTGACGATAAAATTGGCGCGTGTGTCACCGCATCGAATGAAGCGTACATGTGCCGATCGAAGGTGGGCTCGCGGCGACCTCGATGGGAACATGGAACGCGCGCACCGAGCGATAACCTGAGCGTGGAAAAACTTTTAATTGCCCCGTCTAATTGCCGCCACTCTTTGCGTGGTAATTAAGCCAAGTCGCGGGACATCCGCCCGACCATCGGTACACTAAATTATGCAAGATTATTTCGTGGCCGCGTGAGGGATGAAGGAGATCCGCGACTTTCGCGGCTCGTCTTATTATTGGGGGAGAGAATGAACGACAGCTGGAGGAAACGTCCAATTAGTCCCTGGTAGAAATTGAATCTCGTTTAGCCACGAGATAGCAAATCTGTATCTAACATCATTACCAGCTAGTGACGGAACGTTTACTTCTGTCAATAACTAGATAAATAGGTCAGCTGATGATTAAACAAATAAAATTATATATATATATATATTAAGCAAATAAAATTATATATATAATTATATATATAATAGTATAATAGTATAATATAATAGTATATATAATAGTATAATATAATAATTATATATATAGAGTAAAAGTGCCAAAAGCGACATATCATTTTGTTTTTGGACGTTATGTCTTAATATAAAGCTCAAAATATAAATGTAAATATATATACATATAGTTGGAAGTACCTCCTATCAGATAATATCACATTTTTACTGAAATTGTTTCTAGATTTAAAACAAAAAATGTTTTCGTAAAACGCACGATTCAAATGGAGTTCAAAGAATATAGGTGCCAAAAGCGACATACCTATTGGAATTTATATAACATGTCACATATATGATAATATTTGATAATAAATAGTTCATTAATTTTTGTTTAATGGTTGAATAATGTTCATTTATTCAAAATATAATGTTACAAAAGGGAAATATAATTAAATAAATACATATCTTTTTTCATCTTTTTCATTTTCTCACATATTTTACATATGTTATATTTTTAAACTAAATAAAATTAAATTTTAAAATAAACAAATGTCACGTCACAATGGAAGGTTAATAATCAAGTCATGTTAGACACAGTATCGCACCTATCGCATACTATAGATATGTCACTTTAAGACACTCTCATAAAATTTTTCAAGTTATACAGTAAAAAAGTGATGAAGATAAAAATATTAAGAAAATATTTTTACAAAAGCCAAATGCATGTAGAAGAACTTAATATTGAACAAAATGATAATTATCGCTATTTACTCTACGTAATTCGTCAATAAAAATCATAGAAGTAAAACTTGCGAATTTCTAAAACTTGATATTTACTAATTTAGCATATAAAAAAACAAGAAATATACCAAGTATGAATTTTTTATGACTTAATAAAACGGATTACGTTTATATTAGTTTCGATAAAATACAACAATTAATATTTGAAATATAGAGATATGTCACTTTAGGAGATCTATGTCGCTTTTGGCTACTTTCCTCTAATTATATATATATATATATATATATATATATATATATATATATATATATATATATAT